GGAGACCCAGACCACACCAACATTTTTAAGCAACCTAACATTTAGCATCAAAACAAGCTTCCTTTGGTAAAGAATAAGGTCATGGGAATCACAGCCACTAACAAGCCTAACACTGAGATTTTATGTTCTCACAAACTGAATAATTACAACCCTCCACCTAACAGTAATATAAGAATGTGAAAAGCATAGTAACATTAGGGACATCAAGTAAACACATACTTTTTTATAGCAAGAGATGGCTTTCTTACCTATTTCATCCACAACTTGAATCATTTTTTCTAGTTCTTCTGGACAGATATCAGGGCAATGAGTGAAACCAAAATAAATCAATACCCATTGACCGAGGTAGTCCTTATCAGTTTTGGGCTCGCCAGTATGAGTTGTGAGGGAAAATGGGCCCCCAAGTAAAGGCTTTCCGATGCTTCGCTGCCGTTCCTTCTCCAGCTCTTAAACACAAACAAACACACACCGAAGGGGAAAAAAAAAGTCAATCTAACCACAGGTACTCAAATGCCTGATCTATGGTTCATTCTATACTACTGACTGAGGGCACAAAATATGGAAGAAATAGCCTCAGTTTTCAAGAAGCTTAAAAAATCTTTTAAATAAGCATAAAACAATAAAATAAAATCAAACGCTATTGTATATAGTAAGGACTACAAGAAAAGAAAGTGGTAAAACTATTTTCTTCCTCCTCCAGAACAATTCAGTCCTTAGCCATCAGGTGTAGCCACGATGGGGGTGAGGGCAGGGCAGAGCAGAATGTCTGAGCCCAAGTGGGCGAGGTGGGTGGCCTGGCAGTGGGTGTCTGAGCCTGAATGTGCTGAGGAGGGCAGCTGTGTGAGGAAAGGACAGCAGCGATGGGAGCTCAGTTACACACAGGGGCTTGACCAAATAAGTAAATACATTAAAGAGCTATGGATGAAAAAGGAGTTAGATCGATGGAAGGAGAGAAAACTAGAATGAACGCTGAAGTATTGGAAAGAAATGGGAGGTACAATACAAACTTATAGTTTCAATATATATAGATACAGAAATAAGTATAGATGTAAATAAGCACATCTCTCTCCTAGCTCTGTCCACTGAAAGGACCCAGGGGTGGATACACCCCAATAGCAATGAGCTCATATCCTGACTTCTAATATCCTCCACTAAAAGGAAATGAGGCTTTTTAGAGAAACGGCTGATACCAGGACTGGGGCAGAGAAAGTACACGAACCTAGAACATCCTTCTATGTCAGAATTAAGGAAGAACCCAAAGCACATAGGAGGCATGTCAAAAGGAAACAGAAGCCTGTGTCGAAGGGGCTCCCACTGACCAATATGGGACGATGTGAGCGTCAAACCAAAGAGAATGATGGATTACAACTCACTGGCTTGCTAGGAAATCATGAATCACACTGATATAAATAAATGAATTGAGAGTTTGATGGGGAACAGAATATTTACATGTATAAATACATAATATTTACATGTGTAAATGTACATCACAAAATACACATTAATTACATTTCCAGTAGAGAAGCCTGACAGACACCACCTTAAACAAGTGATCAAACTGAACTTAAATCAGTAATGGGACAAACTGAAATCATATGACACCTGACTAAATGCAATGAGAACACAGCGTCCTGAATCTAACCATGAGAAAACATCAGACAAACCCAAACGAAGGGACAGTCTACAAAATAACTGGCCTGTAATCTTCCAAGCTGTCAAGGTCATGAGAGTCCGGTAAAGGTTGAAAAACTGTTACAAACTGAAGGAGACCAAAGAAAAAACTAGGTATGAGGTGTGGCTCTGAACTGGATCTTTCTGCTATAAAAGGAGGGCATCAGTTGGGACTTCCCTGGCAGTCCAGTGGTTAAGACTCTGTGCTTGTACTGTGGGGGGCATGGGTTCAATCCCTGGTTGGGGAACTAAGATCCTGCATGCCACAAGGCACAGCCAAAAAAATTAAAAATAAGTAAAATAAAGGAGGGCATCAGTTGCACAGCTTGAATGAGGTCTGAAGATTGAACGGTGTTAACATATTGATGTTAATTTTCTGATTTTGATGGCTGCATTGTGGTTATGTTGGAGAATGTCCTTGTTTGTAGAAAATACACAAAGTATTGGGAGATGGTGAAGCATCATGTCAGCAAATACTCTCAAACAACTTAGGCACACTTTTTTTTTTTTTCAAAGAAGATGTTGGGGGTAGGAGTTTATTAATTAATTAATTAATTATTTGGCTGTGCTGGGTCTTCGTTTCTGCGCAAGGGCTTTCTCTAGTTGTAGCAAGCGGGCGCCACTCTTCATCGCGGTGCGCGGGCCTCTCACTATCGTGGCCTCTCCTGTTGCGGAGCACAGGCTCCAGATGCGCAGGCTCAGTAGTTGTGGCTCACGGGCCTAGTTGTGCCGCGACATGTTAGATCTTCCCAGACCAGGGCTCGAACCCGAGTCCCCTGCATTAGCAGGCAGATTCTCAACCACTAAGACACCAGGGAAGCCCCAAGGCACACTTTTAATACTGTTTCATAATACAAGTTTTTATAAAACAAAATTATTAACTGAAGGTGAAATTCCAAACTAAAGTCATAAGAAGCCTGGCTTTTTCTACAATCGTCTCTACCATTACTTTCCTAGTTTGTCAGGTCTGTTTCATTTTGAAATTGAAGGAACTTAACTGCTTATTAAAATATGAAAATCATATCAATAAAACACTGCTTGCTACACAAAAGAAATATACCTGTATATCAATATGGATCTTATATTCCTAAAGTTCTAAAGCCTATGAATTTTCACTCCCAGCTGTAAACATTATCCTTTGTGTAATGTCATCAAAAGAGACTCTCTAAAGAATCAAAACAGAGTAAGTGATACTTCAAAGGTTTACTGGAAACTTCTAAAACAAATCTTAAAAGTCCTGAAATATTCACTAAAATATAAAGTTCTTGTAAACAGTTTCTAAACACTCTGAGTGTTAGTCCAGAGCCGTTCCTTGCCGTGAAATTCCCTCTGGCCTGGCAGAACCTCATCTAGTGAATCCTTCACTTCTGTGTCTGTTTCACTGTCATGGGCGCCTCAGTGGCTGGACTGCACCTTAGTCATCTTTGCACCCTCTGGACTTCTTACTATCTACATCCAGATCTGTCCACAATAAGTCTTTTCACATGGTTAGACAGTGGTGCCCTGAACACATAAGACAGTGGAAAAACAGGTGAAACCAAATAAGGTTTGTAGGTTAGGGAACAGTACTGTATGAACTTTAATTTCTCACTTTTGATAAATTAGCCATAGTTATACAAGATATTAACATTAGGGGAAGAAAGGTGAAAGATACATGGAAACTGTCATTTTTACAACTCTTCTGTAAACCTAAAATTATTTCTAGATAAAAAGCTTAAAAACAACAATGACAAAAAGATGACAGTCCACAGCCAGGAGGGATTTTATTCAGCGCTGACCAGATAATATCTACTTACTCTCTGTCTTTTCTTTCTTGAAGTACTTCATCCCAGCCAGTAAAACTCCTCCAATAGCAAATGTGATGGCTAAGGACTTCCAGGAAACAGGCTACTGGGGCAGAGATTTCAAAAATAAAAATACTAAAAAGATGAAAACATTTAATCACACTAAACTTATTACAGTATTTTTGAAGCTACCTACACACAGGCCTCGATCTTGTTAAACGGACAGCATGTTTCACGTTACTTTGGGATGAGAAAATACTGAAAGTTTCTGGGGATGCAGTTGCATCTGGGCTCCTAACACAATTACAAAGGCACTTCTTTCCAAGGGAAGGTTCCCTAAGTCGATTTCTTTTCATGTGGAAAAAAAGACCCAAGGCTCAAGCACCATGATTGTTACCACGTGTGACCCAGATCCCAACTGCTGATTTAAAAACCAGTTAATCACCTGCTTGTGCTGATATTGAGAATACATAGAAATAAACCAAATAAATTTAGAAGGTTAACCTAACTCTGGCTTCCAAAAGTAACAAAGCCAAAGTAGAAGACAGCTAAAAGTGGAACGTCTTGAAAACTGCATCATTATTTCTTTGTACTTTTTCCAAGTCCCAAGATAAAATAACTCATTAACCTTCCCCCAGCTCCGAAGACCACTTCTCTTGCCTATCACTAGAGCCTAATGGCTCTTAAGTTCTTTTGGGGTCAGAACTAGAACCCGGGAGAAACCAAAGAAAAAAGGCATATCCAGCACGCCACTACGACCCACATGTGCTCAATTTCAGCATATACACACCAGACCTCCGAAGGGAGAGCCAAGTGATAAATAATAAAAATGCTCTGACGCGCTTCAATCTTGGGAAACTTAAGGTTGAGACCCAGCCCCCACGCTTAAAACACCTGAAACTTATTTTCTTGGCGCAAAAGCTAACTAAAATCCAAGCCCGGGTATCTAACCACGTGGAGAGGGTGTGGGTTCTGAGGTTCTCTTTACCGCTGAGGGTCCGTGCAAACCGGAGGAAAATGCGGGATGAGATTCTGTGACCCAGGGAGGTCAACCGGCGGAGTGGAGGACAACTTGAGGCCGAGTGGTTTCTGAGGTTATGACCAAGTGGGATAGGAAGGGCGCGCAGGGTTGACTGGCGAGCAAAGGCAGGGCTCCAGGTGTGCACTCACCCGGGGCTGCGAGGGGCGCGTGGGGTCTCCGCCGCCCTTCGGCTCCGGTCCTGACGACCCGGGCGAGGGCTGCCTCGCCGTGCTGAGGAGCCGGCACCGCAGGCAGCTGCCAACGAGCCCCGAGGCCCGCCACGCCTCCTCTGGCGGCGCGCGGAGCCGCCCCAGCATGACCTTCGCGGTCCCCTCCCCGGGGCCCCAAACCCCGAGGCCGCGAGGCAAGAGAAACCAAAGTTTGCTACTCGGAAGCCGCATTATCCGGCCGGGCGCGCGCAACAAGCCCGCCATGAGCTCGAGAGACCGCGCCTCCTTTGCCCCGCCCCTCGACTTCCGGCACCGTTTCCGCTTCCTCCGAAAGTGAGGGAGAGCCGCTCTTTCCTCTGCGCTCGATGGTGACGCGGTCGGCTAGCCGGTAGTTTGGGAGCCCTTCGCTGCGGAGTCGGCGCGCGGTAGGTGGTTCCTCGCGGCTGGAGGCGGGGCGGGGTGGGCCGGGCTGGGCTAGGCCTACGCGGGCGGGCGGCAGGGCCCTCGGGAGCTGGCAGGGCCTGGAGGAGCGGGCCGCACCGGGGATCGGGCTGCGTGGCGGGAGCTGGGCCGGGAGGCCTGAGTGGAGCTCAGGGGCCCGGGGCTTCGGCGACCGCAGCCTCTCCTCCCCCACCGGGTGCCCCCAGCCTCGGAAAAGAGAAAACGGCGTCCGGAGACGGCCGGGACCGGGCAGCCCCCGTCCTCAGCCTGGAGGCCGGTCCTTGACCGCTTTACACCCCTAACGTAGAAGCGGACCCATTGCGCTTGAAATAATGTGCGACTTTTTTTTTTTTTTTTTTTTTACTGTACGCGGGCCTCTAACTGTTGTGGTCTCTCCCGTTGCGGAGCACAGGCTCCGGACGCGCAGGCTCAGCGGCCATGGCTCAGGGGCCCAGCCGCTCCGCGGCATGTGGGATCTTCCCCGACCAGGGCACGAACCCGTGTCCCCTGCATCGGCAGGCGGACTCTCAACCACTGCGCCACCAGGGAAGCCCTGTGCGACTTTTTAAACACATTTGCTGATTAGGATATTTGAGCGGTTAGGGTGACAAGGACTAGTCAAGTATGACTGAACTGCTTGGGATTTATATTCGCAGGGTATAAGGAACCTGAATAGAAATACCGGCACTGTACGGAGTGGTGTCTCTCCTGCGTCATGTCCCAGCCCATGACTTGGGCTCCCTGGGCCCTAGGATTTCTACAAGCCTGTATTTACATAAGCCCCCTGTTAACGAGGCGGAGAGCGTTCGTAGGTTGACTTTTCATTCCTTGCGAAAGTTTAACTCGCGTTCATTCTGTCTTGCCTTTGTTTTTGTCTCAGCATCTGCAGTCTTAATCTCTCTCCTCCCCGCCTCCGTGCAGATGTGCAAAATACAAAAAAAGGAGGAAAAAAAAAAAGCCTTCTAACGTTCTTAACTTTGGATCCCACTCCCGCGGGGCCTTTTTCAGGGCGTCCGCTGAGCAGAAGCATCCGATGCCTGGTGATGGTGGCCCCGGGGCGGGGTAATTTTTTATGAACTGGCATCATCAGCCAGTGTTCTCCTCTGCTCGCCCACCAGGAGGTTTGTAGTAGTCTGTAATTACCTGTGTTTCTTGATTCCTGAATTGAGCTGGACTTCTCTGGAATATCGGCTCAAAGTAAATGTTCAGCACTTCAAATCATTTTTAATCAAACTGATTTTTCTGTCTTGAACTTGCCCATGCTTCAGATCTTCTCCCCCGCTCCCACCTTATTTCTCTGTGTTTGTTTCTCCAGGGAGAAGGTAGTCCTCAAATTGACAAAAAGACACAAAAGTACCCTGCTTATTCAGGCAGTGCGTGTGTAAAATTATTGTTCACCTCTTTGCTCAGTTGTAGGTTAATTGATCAGACAGCCGTCAGCTACATTAAAATTGAACTCAAGATTTTTTTTCAGCTGGTCTGTTAATTTTTATTTTCCAGAGTGATTCTTTTAATAGCTGGACCCTTTATTTGTTTACCAAAGCATTTTTATACAACTTCTTCATATTAAATTTATAATGCTAAATAAAATACTAGCTTCTAAAACAGTTCCTGGCTGAAAGTAGGTGTTTTATAGCTGTACATAGGATGAATTGCTAACACCTCTGAGCCTGACTTCATGCACCTGTAAAACTTTAGTGTTAAAAGATACCTAAAACACTGTCTAGTGTAAACCTGTCACTTGTGAGAGGAAAATCAGAATGGTGTTGGTATTGCTAAGAGAGCTCACGAAAATGGAGTCGGGAGGCCCTTGAGGATGTGTGACTTAGGCATGTCTCAGCCTGGATGGAATCTGACCTTTGACCATTTATTGTCCTAATGAAGTCATCCAGAACATGTGCTGGAAACTCACGATACCTAGCGGACCCCTAGCCTGGAATAATTCGTGATTCCTTAAAGACAAATATTTCTTGACTTGTGTCAGAGTCAATCGCAGTTCTCAACAGGCAGCTAACTCTGTGGCTTTTCGTATTTATGAGCCCCTGACTCTTTCTCTTCCCCAGAACACTCTCAGTTTTGCCTGAATCTGTCTCCCCCAAATTGCAGTTCTTAAGACCCCAAATAAATTCATTTCTTACTTGTAGCCTCCTGCATTGTGTTTCGTTTGACACACTTTTATTACTCCTCTTAAACCACCAAGATCACAAACGAGTTTTTTTTCTTTTTTTCCCCAATTTAGATACTTTCCTTGAACGAGACAGGATGTAGATATTATCATCTGGTATTTGTTCTATCAACAGTGACAAGGCTGATCAAATTTTGTGCTTGACATAACCTTAGGCTGTTTGACTAGGACAGCTAGGCCTAACTTCCCGGCCCTGTAGTTCACTTGCTTCATCTCAGGTGCAGATCTCCGCCCTGCGTGTCTAGCCACAAACATTTCCTGCCTCACCTTGCCTGTTATTGCTGTATCTAGCACAGTGAGTTTCAAGGCTATCCCCCCCAAATTTTTCCACAGCTACCTAGCCCACGTGGGTCTATGTATAAAAACTTGGCTCACGGGCTTCCCTGGTGGCGCAGTGGTTGAGGGTCCGTCTGCTGATGCAGGGGACGCGGGTTCGTGCCCTGGTCCGGGAAGATCCCACATGCTGTGGAGCGGCTGGGCCCGTGAGCCGTGGCCGCTGAACCTGCGCGTCCGGAGCCTGTGCTCCGCAATGGGAGAGGCCACGACCGTGAGAGGTCCACGTACCGCAGAAAAAAAAAAAAAAAAACTTGGCTCACGCATCCCTTCCCTGAGATGCTTCTGGCTTAGGCTTTGAGCATCTCTTTATGGCAGTAGTTCCCCTTAAGTGTCTCTCCTTAGTAAAGTCTAGGCTTGTCACATTTTTTTCCTTTGACAGTAGTTTGAAGGGCTGTCTTTCTTCACATCCTCACCATAGATTCTTGAGGGCTTTCTACAAGGACCTTCAGCATTCTGCCAGTCTTAATTATCATAGAAGTTTTTTATATCATCTTGTAGCAAGTTTTCAGCAAGTAAGCATCCCTGGGCATTTCCTTCTATTCTTGAAAATCATTGGTGCCGAAGGTGGTTTTCGCAGAATGCTGACTGCTTATCCTGCACCATGAATTTTTGTAGGACCTTTTTTGAGGAAATCTTGTTAAGTTTTCTGCATTATTCTGGTCTATAAAAAGTTGGGGTAGTTTCATTTATCTTGAGGTTCACTAGGCAGATATATAATTAAAAAATAATTTTCTTGGGCTTCCCCGGTGGCGCAGTGGTTGGGAGTCCACCTGCCGATGCAGGGGACGCGGGTTCGTGCCCTGGTCCGGGAAGATCCCACATGCCGCGGAGTGGCTGGGCCTGTGAGCCATGGCCGCTGAGCCTGCGTGTCCGGAGCCTGTGCTCCGCAACGGGAGAGTCCACAACAGTGAGAGGCCCATGTACCGCAACAAATAATAATAATAATAATAATTTTCTTAACACGTATAGAGTGCTTTATGATTTACAAAGTAGACCACTGTGCATTAGAACTCAGTTGAATCTCACAAGTGATGAGGGTTATTTTGCTCTAAGAAACTGGAACTGCAATCAGTTCTAGGTTTTCAGCTTCACAGCTTCCAGCAGTTCATCATAATACCCCTTAACTAAAACTTAGATAACTTAGCATATGTAAATGGTGCAGGCAAAACTTCCAGAACCAAGTTCACTAGAAACTTGCTATTTTGCTGTCTTTTCAAAAGCAAATTATTTTCTTAGATCTTCTAATTCTTCCAGACTTCATTTTTCCCTAAACTTTAGAATGCTTTTAAAAACTTTATATTATAGACATTTAAAAACATGCATAAAAGTAGAGAGTATAAACCTCATGTACCCATTTTAGCTTTAACAATTATTCTCTACTCATCTACTTGTTTGTGTGTATTTGGTGAAGGATGGGGAGTATTTTGAAAAAGTTCTATGGCACTGGAATGCTTGTTAATTCTAAGTCTCCCCACTGGAGGTGTCTTTGAGTTGTTGATCTCTCTGTCCACCAGGATCAGTCTTTCTGAGCTCCCTGGCATCTCCCTGAACCATAAAACAAAAGACTCTAAATGAGCCAGAAGAGTCAATTCCCGGCCCACTTGGTTCTTTTTTGCCCTGACTCACTCACTGTTGATTCCAGTTGTCTTTCCGTGAATGGGGTCTTGTCCTCCCTTATCGCTTATCTTTTAACAGATCACGGTATAAATTTAAGTTTCTGTTTTACAAAATAATTTCTGTGTTTAATAAAATGCATATTTTTTTCTATCCTTAGCCTTATCTTTGAAAGCTATATGTAATGAGCATTTTGAATCTCTTTTCTACCCTAGAACACATTACTGCTTTGAAGTATGTGGCCCTTGCTGGTTCTCTTCACATTACTTAACTTTCTTTAAAAAGCTGGCAAATCTTCAGATACCCTGGAGTTTCCCTAAACTAAACTGTGTTCCAGTGGAAGGTGCATCTGATAGGGCTTTTGGTATCGCATGACAGAAACCTTAAAGCCAGTTCACTTTGGCTTTACTCAGAGGAGATTTTGTTGGCTGATGGAACTAAATGACCAAGAGTGGTTCCAGCAGGGACAGGTGGGTCCACGTGTTCAACTAGTGTTTCCAGGACTTGACTTCCTTCCATCGGTCACATTGCTTCCTTCTAGGTTGGGTTTCTTCTCAGTTAACTTTTCCCTAGCAGCTCCAGTCTTAGTTATCAGTTTTAGCAGAAGTGGTTCCAGTAGTTTTGCTAGTAGTTCCAGTGAAAGTCCCAGGGCTGATGCTTATTGACCCCACTGACCAGAGGGAAACTGGGCTTTTAGAGGCTAGGCCTGGGTCCTGGGTCTGCCCCTCTCCAGCCGGGAGGTTGAGGTTAAACCACACAGACAGAGTGAGAGTGGGTAGGTGCCCAGACAGACATTGGGATGCTGTGACCAGAACAGGAAATGAATGCTGGGTCGGCAGTGACAGGTGTCTACTGGACAAGATCAAATTAATTGGGACAAAATACCCTCTAGGAGATGTACAGTACATATTGTTACCCTAAAGGCGCTGAGTTTAAAGGTAAAAACAAACAAGCTTGTTTAGCAGGGGATAAAAGCATTCCCAGAAACCATTTTCTCTTAAACTCTGGTGATAACTTTCCAATGATAACACTTGCTAAATTATCTTCTGGTTTGATTCTCTTATTAATCTATACTTGGAATCCCAAATATTTGAAGCCTTAAAAGACTAGGGGTTTTCAGCTTAAATGAGTTTTGTATTTATTTTAATTGCATCTCACCTTTCAAATCAGATTATCTCATCTATACTATCCCTCGTACATATTAACTGAGTTGGTATTTAGTGGGGTTTTCAGATGGGACTGCAGGAAGAAATGAACAACAACAACAAAAAAGTATAAGAACACCAAGGAATTTTTCAGGGTTTCCATCACTTTTTCTGGTTCTGTTTTACCTGTTTTGGGGCTCATTCTACCCAAGCAGATTAAGGAAGGAATTTAGCTCATAATTGGGTAGATCACATAGAAAGTGTGTCATTGTTGACAAACAGTTTAGACCAAAAAGAGACCCTTAATTCTCAAAAGTGTCAAATAGAAATCTGGCCCTTGTTGCTGATTGTGGAGTTGTCACCTCCACCTCATAGGAACACTCTGACAGGATTTCACATGTCTGTAGATTGTTAAAAAGAACTCAGTAGGAATATTCAGCAAATGACTGGAGACCAGGAGTCTGAAAGTAATTTTAGAAACTACAAGTGAATTTTTAGAAACAACTAGGTTTTAATAACCTAGACACCACAACACAATTTATTACTGTAGTTTTTATAACAAGAATAGTTGATAATTTAGGGTCCTAGCCTTTTATTTTAATCCTTAGTGTTCTTGGCACTTTTAAGAGATTACAAATGATTATAAATTTAGATTGTAAACAATCTAATAAAGTCATAGCTTTTTAAAGTCTAAATCCCTAGCACTTGTGGTCCGCTGAGGAAGAGATCATGTATGAGAAAAAAAGAATACATATTTCCTGTTTTGTTTAGAGAGAAGGGGAATGTGTTATTCAGGTTTTAAAAAGCTGGTCCAAATTTGAATCCAACTTTTGAAGAACCAGGCATCACTACTCACAGAAGTGAAAACAGTCATATCAATGTCATAGTTTTTGTGCCGGATTTTTTTGTTTAAATTAATCCTCTCATCTTTTTTTCCTCTCTCTGTTATTGCATATATAAAATATGAGAAAATTATTTGAGGTGACCTACCCATCAACAAAGAGAAAAGATCTAGCCTAACGTAATATACTCCTAGTGGGAACTAATGTATAAAGTACAATGAATGAGTGTAATATACAACTCCCCCCACCGAAAAAAAATCTTGAGCTTTTGATAGAATTATTTTGGTGTTTGTGGAAGAAGGGGTGTGTGTGTGTGTGTGTTTGTTTAAAACTAGTGTATATTTATTAAAAATTACAAATTATACCAGATTTGAATTTGACTTTACTAGAACTAGAATGCCTGTTCACGAATAGGATAATACCCTTTTGTAACTTGCTGTTCTTCTGCAGAATAGAGGTTATCATCTATTTTACAGATGAGAAAACTGAAGCATTTTGAGGACTTGGTAATTTGGACCTAAGACCATCAGACTCTAAAGCCCTTGCACTTTTCTCTGTACCAAGCTACCTAGTGGATTGACTATTAAGTTTAATATTCATTTTACCATTTTCTTCAGTCCAGTTAGAAAATTAGATGTTTATAACTTTATCTTTCTCACTTTCCTTGCTTAATTTAGAAAACTATTTGGAGATTATGGATGCTAAGCCCGAACCTGGACCCCTCAGTGAGAGTTCAGAACTTCTTTTCTCCTTTGGAGTTATAGCAGATATTCAGTATGCTGATTTGGAAGATGGCTATAATTTCCAAGGAAGCAGACGGAGATACTACAGACACAGTCTTCTTCACTTACAGGGTGCTATCGAACACTGGAATAAAGAAAGCAGCCCACCCAGTTGTGTACTTCAGCTTGGAGACATCATCGATGGATATAATGCACAGTATCAAGCATCAGAAAAGTCACTAGAACTCATCATGAACACATTCCAAAGGCTGAAAGTCCCAGTTCATCACACGTGGGGAAATCATGAATTCTATAACTTCAGCAGAGACTATTTAACAAACTCCAAACTTAACACAAAGTTTCTGGAGGACCAGATTGCCCATCATCCTGAGACTGTGCCTTCAGAGAATTATTATGCTTATCACTTTGTACCGTTCCCTAAATTCCGGTTCATTTTACTCGATGCTTATGACATGAGTGTCTTGGGCGTGGATCCGTCTTCTCCAAAATACCAGCAGTGTCTGAAGATACTGAGGGAGCACAACCCAAATGCGGAATTGAATAGTCCTCAAGGTGAATTATTCCTTTGAGCTGAGAATCTAATACATTGTCTTTAAATTCTTCAGCTACCTTTTATTCAGCAGGAAGATGGACGATTAAGGTAAAAGTATATTGTCCTGTTGTTCAGGGTCAGGATTTCTCACACGCCTCATGGCACTTGGATTGGTGGCATTTGGTTCAAGATTCATTTATTTAACACATAACTGAGTGCCTGATGTTCTGGCCGGGTACTTTTTCTAGGGCAGCTATTCAGAGGCGTAGGCAATACTGACAGTCCCACTTTTTTAGGGATGGAGTAGAGGAAACAAGAGGAAAGTGGACGGGACAGATAATAAATGCAACAGAAATAAGTGATCAGTGCCACCAAGAAAATAAAGTACAATATTATAGAAAACGACTAGGGGTACCATTTTAGTCAGGTGGCCAGAAATAGCCTCTCTAAGGAGAAAAGCATTTCAGCTAAGTGATGTGAAGGAGTCAGCCTCGGGAAGAGCCGGTGGGGCAGAGCACTCAAGACAAAAACCAGTGCATAGGCGCAAAGCAGTGTAAGGCACTGTTACTGAAGAGCACAGAAGGGCCCATGGGGTGCAAGGTGATTTTACAGTGGCTCAGTGGACACAGAAAACAGTCTGTTGTATATTCAGTGTAACGGGAAGCTGGGGAAGTAAGCAGAGGAGAATTGAGATTAGGAGTAAGATACAGCGTGATTTACACTGCTCTAAATTGTTAGCTAAGTTTGAATGCCCAAATGAGGGAAAATCGGCATTTGATGGGTCTAAATTACTAAATTTGTTTCAGGACTTGCTGAGCCCCAGTTTGTCCAGTTTAATGGAGGATTCAGCCAAGAACAGCTGAACTGGCTGAATGAAGTTCTTACATTCTCTGACAGAAACCAAGAAAAGGTGGTGATTGTGAGTAAGTATTTAAATGATTTGATTACACTGGCATTTTAGAGAATAGGTCTAGTTAGGTTTTAAAACATACTAACAATATTTAATATTGTGATATTTTTATAAAATGAAAGCTTAGTTTAAAATTTTTTATTGAGAAACAATCTGAATGTAAAGTTACATTTAAGCTTGAGTCAGGAAAGAATTGTAAAATAAAACATCTTGCCATATATTAGAGCCTGTGAGTTGGCCCTTTAAGTTTAAAAGTAGTATTTCCCCAAATGGGTTCAATTGGTGTAGTAATACATATAAGTGAAAAACTCCATCCAGGCCCCAGACCAAATAAATCCCAGTCTCAGGAGACCTACCTGTGAGTGCAGTGACCTCTGCTGACAAGGTGAAAGCAAAGCTGGTGTCTCGGGACGAGTGTGAGAGGCTCATCTGGCAGGTCTGTAACTGTGTCCACCATATGATTGCAAAGAAATAAAATGTGTTGTTTTCGTTTAGAATTATTTTCCACAGACATACTGCCATTAGAGGTTATAGGAACCTGGAGGTGCTTAAAATAGACGTGTGTGTATGTGAGCGTGTGTGCGTGCGTGCACGCACACACACACGAAGAACTGAATCTGGATTTGCAGTATGCCTGGTGTACTTGGTTTGGGGGCTGGGATTAGTTCTCTCGGTTAAAATCGATGTGGCCTGATGGATGAGAAGATACAGGGACGGCATGCCATTCTGGCTCTTGTTTCTTTGACCTGTGTGACTCTGGACAGATGTTGAATGTGCAAACTGCAGGTTCTCAGGATGGTATCAAATGGATTTATGAACATGAAATCCTTTTGAAAATGACAGGCTCTTCAGATAGTTGGTAATATAAAATTATATTTCAGGGAATTCCTTGGCCGTCCGGTGATTAGGACTTGGCGCTTTCACTGCCGAGGCCCGGGTTCGATCCCTGGTGGGAGAAGTAAGATCCGGCAAGCCACTCGGTGTGGCCAAAAGAAAACCATTATATTTCTACTAATCAGTTTTTACTTATTTATCTTTCACTGATGTGGTAAAGATATGAGATGGAGTGGGGGTATTTCTAGAATATCAAATGTCATTCAAGGCTTAGAAAATTATAAGGTGCCCTCAGGGGTTATAGGCATGATGTGACACTGTTTGGCTCTGTAATAAGTGGTTTCCAAAATGGGATACTTCTTGTGTCTGCTTTTTAGTTTTCACTGCCATAATGTACCTGTTATTGTAGAGAATACTGGAGCTAAAAGGGACCTCGAGATCATATAGTCAAACCTTTTAATTTTAAAGATAAGGAAACTGAACCCAAAGAGATTAAACTACGTAGGTCAAGTCATAGAGCTCCTGAGACTGGAGACCCCTTTCGTCGTCGTCTCCCTCCGTACCGTATTCTTCCCGTTTCTTTGCACTTCTGTCAGTGCACCTGTCTGCGTTAGCGTCTCGTACGTTTCTTCCATTTTGCTCTAAGCTCAGACACTGGATGAACAACTGAGTGCCTCGGGTTTTCTTTAGCAAAGTTTAAAATGGCTAATAGACATTTTCTTTTGTTTCTGTTTGCTTCTTCACTTTCATTTTGGCTTCTCGGAAGTATTTGGCCTACTCAAGTTTTGGCCATGCAGTTGGAAGGATAGAATTGCTATTAGCTGAGATATGGAACACTGCAGTAGGAGGGGTTTTGAGTGAAGAGTTCAGGAGTTCAGGTTTGAAAATATGAAGTTGCAGATGCCTATTAGACATCAGGAGAGATGATGAGTAAGCAGTAGGGACACATGAGTCGGAAATTCAGAATAGAAGTTTGGGTCAGATATATAAACGTGGAAGTTGAAAGAATACAGATAGTATTTAAAACTGTAAATTACTAAGAGATCACCAAGCCATTAGGTATAGACGGAGTAGTGAAGCCTGAGGACCAAGCCTTCGGGCACTCCTGACAGGACACTAGGGAAGTGAGAAAGCAGCAGAGTGAGGATCAGAAGCTGTTGAGGTTGGGAGAAAACTGGGGGGACAGCGGTGTTCTGGAAGCCAAGCATTTCAAAGAGGAGGGAGCGACTAATTGTGTCCGATGCGTCCAGCATGGCATCTGGGTCTACAGTCACACAGCCTCCTGGGACTCTCAGCCCTTATCACAGCTTGAAGAGTGGTTGTGTGTGTGTGTGTGTGTGTGTGTGTGCGCGCGCGCACGCGCTCTGTTACCTTCCCTTTTTTTACTTTTATAATAAACTAATAGATATTAAGCAGAATAAAATTTTCAGAATAAAATTTCAGAATAAAAATAAACAGTAATAGAGAAAAAAGGAAAATGATTTAATGGGAAGAATCAAAGGCCAGTGAGCTGTTGTACCTGTACGTTGGAGTGAAACCGTGGCCTGATGTTGATGTGGCCTCGTAGGTGCCTTGAGATCAATTTGAAATTCTCTTGGCTGTATCTCCGGTGGAAGCTAGTATGAATGTTCCCTTCTTTAACTTAGTTTTCTCATCTGTAAAATGGCTATGGCCACCTTGATCTCATGGAGGTATTTCAAGTAGCATAAGTCAGTTCTTTATAAAACATTGAGTGTTTATATAAATGACATATATATATAAAATCCATTGGCCCATCCCTAAACTGTTCTTTTACTTGGGAGTAGCTCTTTCTGTGTGTGTAACACTCATACTCTTAGGGAAGTCAGTGAGACTGGATTCCAGTGCAGCATCTGCCTGATCTCTGGCTGCCTTTACGGACCGCCCCGCCCGGGATGCCCTCAGTCTCCCGTGGTGGTGCTTGTGCATCTTGAGACTTTGTAGGCCATAGATCTCAGGCTTTCTGCGTATACAGCAGCCTCTCTCCCCTTGGATGCGAACTGTCTCGCCCTTCTTTATGCTCCAGAAACGTGGCTCTAGATTATCTAGTTTTTCATGTATGTGGATTCTCTCTGGTCTCGGTCCATATGAGTAGCAATACACATTTTCTTTATCCTGAGTACTAGTTTTTAGCCTTTTTTTGGTGAAAGAGGTATTTCTTAATTGGCTCATAACTCTTCTTCTCTTTAACTAACAGGCCATCTTCCCATTTATCCCGAGGCCTCTGACAGTGTGTGCCTGGCCTGGAATTACAGAGACGCCCTGGCAGTCATTTGGTCTCACAAGTGTGTGGTGTGTTTCTTCGCCGGTCACACTCACGATGGTGGCTACTCTGAGGATCCTTTTGGTGTGCACCACGTCAACATAGAAGGGGTTATTGAAACGGCTCCAGACAGCCAGGCCTTTGGCACAGTTCATGTCTATCCTGACAAAATGGTGCTGAAAGGGAGGGGCAGAGTTCCAGACAGAATTATGAATTACAAGAAGGAAAAAGCTCTCCATTTTTAGTGTGATTTTATTTGTTTACTTTTATAGAAAGAGACTGACTTGGCTTTGTGGGTTTGTTCCGCCTTCCTCTCCCCACATCCTGAGTCTCATTGTTTAGTATTCTGTTTGCATAACAAATGGCCATAACTGACTTCAGTGTGTGTTAGCTCGTAAGATATTCTGAAATGTCATTTTTGGATAATATATCCCGTGTTGAAAACTGGAAAGGAAATGAATGAAAGTAGCATGAATAAACCAGGGAGGAGACTGAGGTGGGGGGATACAGTCCTCCAAACAGATTCTATTTAGCCTTACCTGAGGTTTTTTTACTTTTTACAAGGAGAATGTATTCATTCACTGTATTAGCTATGTAAGTTAAAATTCATAATAAAAAAGAAATAAAATAAGCTCAGGTAAACTTTTTCCGTTTACCCAGTTGTGTGAATGAGCTTTAGACATTTTATGCTCAGAGTACCCATCATATTTGTACTTTTATAGGTTTATACTCCTGTTTCGTAAGCCAAAAGCATCACTAGTTACTTCACAGGTGAACGAATAGCACCCCCATTCACACAGGTGAATGTGTGGTCTCCCTTGTGAACCTCTTGTGAGTTCAGCCAAATCAGGACCGAGTGCCAGTGCAGCTGTGTGCCTGCCAGCATGTCTGTTTGGGCCCCCAGCTGGTGCTATAGGAGACTATCGTAGGTAGATGAATTTACCCTTGACTCCCTTTATAGACAAACGGGGCATGTTTAACTGAGCTGTCATATATTCTAAGACTTATTTGCAGAAACACTTACTCAGTGGCAAATGGGGACTGTTCAAGTGTAGAAAAAGTTTGATTCAGGGCCTGAAAAACAGGAAGACAAAAAACCAGTACTAGTCAACGTAAGTGTGTCTGCTGAGTACCGAAGCATTGTGGGGCTGCAGAGGCGTATCAGTTTCCGCTGGCTGCTGTAACAAATTACCACAAACTTGGTGGCTTAAACAACATATATTTGTTCTCTTACAATTCTGGAGGTCATAAGTCTGAAATTGTCTTCACTGGGCTGAGATCAAGGTGTTATCAGGGCCATGCTCTCTCGGAGGCAGAATCGGTTTCCTTGCCTTTTCCAGCTTCTAGAGCTGCATCTCTTGCATGTCTTGGCTTATGGCCCCTTCCTCCATCTGCAAAGCTAGCAATGCAGCTTTTTCCAGTCTCTTGCTGCTTTGTTGTCACAATGCCTTTCTCCCCTTCTGTCTGTAGTCAAATATCCCTGTGCCTCCCTCTTATATTGTAATTACATTGAGGGCCCACCCAGATAATCCAGGATAATCTTCCCACCTCAAGATCCTTAATCACATCTGGGAAGTCTATTTTGTGATGTAAGGTAACATTCAATGGTTCTGGGGATTAGGACCTGGATACCTTTGAGGGTCATTATTCAGCCACTGACGTGACTATAATGCGCTCCCTGCCTTCACTGACTTTCCACAAGTGAGAGAGAGAAACAACCCTGCATACAAATGTATGAAGAAAGGACAGTGGCAACATGGAGGAGGGATTTAATTTTGTTTGAAGGGAATAGGGATGACTTGAAGAAGGAAGAAAAATGGTTTAAATAGATGTGCAGGTGCATTTCATGTAGACAGAACAGCGTAGCGTCATAGGATATGCTGAGTTCAGGAACTGCAAGTAATGCTATGAGGATTCACCAAACAGCGCTGGGGGATGGCAGGCGGTAAAGTGGGAAAGGACAAGCTAGGGCTTGTCCTGAGTGACGAGCCAGAGTTAGAACTAAACTTGTCAGGCAGTGAGGAACCCTCCGGTGTCTGAGCTGGGGAATGTGTGAGGAAATTTGTGTCAATTCCAGGCAGTGGATAATGAGAGGCTGATATAGGAGAATGACAGTGGGGAGAAAAAAGATTGTGAGGGTGGGAGGACAGAGATTTTGACAAAGAACTATTAAACTTACTAATGATACTTAAATTCAATTGAAAAATAGAGTTGAAAAGCAATTTCAGTAATACTGTTCAAAAGGCAGTACTTTACCAAGTTACTGCCTTTTACGTGCTTCTGGAGATACGAAAGGAACTGTGTATATTCACAAAATTCATAGTGTTATATGGGAGATGCAAATATGATGAAAGTGTATTTTGGATATTACTTTAAAAAAAATTGAAACATTACAGTCTTTTAAGCACAGAATCAGGCATTACTTGGAGGATGGGTAGGTCCTATATAGAATTTGGAAATAAATCTGTTTCTTCATGTCTGACTAATAGTTATACTAACGGAGGTATAAAAACCATAAATATACCAGAAAACTGAAATCCTTTATTTGTATTTCACTGACCCTTAAAATAAATTTTACTTTAATTGCTTTAATATCAACTAGATTGTTTTTCCTTTACCCTCTAAATCTTGATAGAGAATTTCTGACTATCCAGTGGCCATTATGTAAAACAAAAAACATGCCTATCTCCTTTAACAAATATTTATAAAATACTTAATATCGTATTAAAGGCTATAAAAATAGGCAAACTACCAGACTCATTTTCACTCTACTAATACTTTTTGAGTCAAATATTTCCTAAATCTCATGAAACTGTCTCCACTATGGAGTTTGATGCTAGCATATGTAAAAGAGTTGCCATCCAGATGCTCTAAGACAGCACTGACCAACAGAAATATAATGTGAGCCACATAAGTAATTTGAAATATTTTAGCAGTCACATTTTAAAAAGTAAATAGAAATAAATAAAATTAATTTTAATTATGTATTTTATTTACCCCAATACATCTAACATATTATTTTAACATGTAATCAATATAAAAATATTCTACATTCTTTTTTATACTAAGTCTGTAAAATCTAGTGTATATTTTATACTTATAATCCATCCATTTGGACACTAAATTTTCATTGGAAATACTTGGTCCGTATTTAGATATAAAATTTGCAGCTGAAGAAGTAGATTCACATATCCAAGTTGTTCCAAACATACTTAAAACAAGTGTTCCAAACACATAAGTTTTCTCATAACTGAATTGATGTTTTTAAATAAAAATGAAAAAATTCAAACTTCTTCAGTGTACATTTCAAGCGCTCAATACAACATGCAGCTAGTGGCCACCAGACTGTACAGCTCTGAAATGGTCTTCTCTACAGGGCTACTTTTGACATTAAAAATATGTGTCTAGATTTTGGTCTTATTTTTCATTTAAAATGTAATTAATATTCTCTCTCTCCTTCTTTTTGGTCCCACATTCCTTTATTCTAGCTAACTTTCTTTCCAAGACATGCTTGTTCACTTGGTTCATCTGGAGTCCTCATTTAATTCACGGCACTGTACCAGTTCAGTATACTGAGGTTAGTTCAGGGGTACAGCCCTCTCCTGAACTCTTTCTATCATTATCCAAACACTGCTTCCCTCTATGTTATCAGGTGCAGCCCTTTGTCAGCTCTTTATATTTTGAATGCTCTCATATTATCTCGGTTATAAACCTTGCAACTATATAAATAAGTAGGAGGTCTGGTAGTAACCCTATTTTATAGATAAAGAATTATCCATGGGAGGTTTACACATTTGCCCAAGTCACATGGATAGTGACGTAGCTGAGTTAGAATTCATATTTCTGAACTTTTGTGTTTTGCCTTTTCCACTACACTGTGACACAACAGAATGTCAGACTCCTCTTACTAGTCCCTTCCAGTCCTGTGTTGTAGGCAGCCTAACTTAGGATTTTTAAAAAAAATCATCTCTAGTATTAACTCAAATTACCTGAAATAAATTCCTAGGAAACTGGCATGTTACAATCATGTTTACAAAAAATTGTAAACTCTCATTTTAAGAACAGGATTCTTCATTTAAATTACTGTCTTGCAGTGAGTTGGCCAGGAGGACCGCATCTCCTTGTTTATATATACATAGACCCATGAGATAAATGGGAAAAGAGCAACTATGATAGCAATAGCCAACTGAATTCTTCCACCAACTGGATTCCTATAAAGACACACAAAAATTATTATAAATAACAATCCAATAAAAATTATGAACTGCTTTGGTAACGAATATGAAGATTGATTTTACTAAAACACATCATTACATTTTTGTACGGTCTTTTTAATTTTTTAAATTGAAATATAATTCTTATATTTCATATAAGAATTATATAAGAAATATAATTCTGCATTTCAGTGACCTCAGTTGAAGGTCATTGATAAAGCAATGTTAAAATGGATCTTTACATAATGATTTTTGTGTCCTGTTTAAGAAAACTTTTCTTCCCCAAGGTCTTAAGGATACTAGATTATCTTCTCTAAAAGTTTTATTGTTTTGCTTTTTACATTAGATCTATAATCCACCTAGAATTGATTTTTATGAAAGTTTTAAGGTATAGGGGTTGTTTCACTTTTTTCCATATGGATATTCAATTGCTCCAGCACTATTTATTGAAAAGATTGCCTTCCTTTGCTACCCTGGAGTGCCACCATTGTCCTAAGTAAAGGCCATATACATACATACATACATACATATATATATATATATATATGGATCTGTTTCTAGATTCTATTGTTTCATTCATTTATTTTTCCAGTATGGGTTTATCTTATACTGCCATAGGATAATTATTTAGGTGTTCTTTATTTTAATATTGAGGTCTTTAATTTCTCCCATAATGTTTTATAGTTTTGTATGCAGAGATTTTGCACATCTCTGCTAGATTTATTCCTGGGGAGTTGATTTTTTGATGCTATAAATGATAACTTTTTGTTTTTATCCTTTTCTGTTACTTGCTGATAAAAATAGTTGATTTTAGTATATTGACCTAGTATCCAGCCATCATGCTAAACTCACTTATTTGAATAACTTTTTAGATGTTTAGAAATTTTCTACATATGTGATTTTGTCATCTGTGAATAAGGAAAATTGAATTTTGCCTTTCCAATCCTTAGGGGCTTTTATTTCTTTTTCTCGCCTTACTGTACTGGCTAGGACAAGAGATAGAGCAGTGTTGAGTAGAACTAGTGGCAACAGTGGCTACTTCTCATTCCTGATCTCAGAGGAAAAGTTTTCAGCTGCTCACCATTAAGTATCATGCTGTGGTATAGATACCCTTTAACAGGGTAAGTTCCTTTTTAAATCAATTTTTATGAGCTTTTATCATGAATGGATGTTGAATTTTATCAAATGCTCTTTTTGTATAGGCTGAGAAGATAGTTTATTTTCTTCTTTCATTCTGTTAATGTAGTGAAAAACACTGGTTGGTTTCCAAATGTTGAACTAACTGTATTCCTAGAATAAACACAACTTGGTGGCTGGGTCATGAATTGCAGGACTTGATTTGCTAATGTTTTTTATTTTTTGCTAATATTTTGTTTAGGGTTTTTCCATCTGTGGTCATGAGTGAGATTGCTGTGTAACTTCCTTTTTCTTTCGTTTTTTTTTTTTTTTTTTTGTGGGGGGGGTGGGTAATGTTCTTGTCAACTTTTGGTGTCCAGATTTTTCTGCCCTCATAAAATAAACTGGAAAATGTTTCTTCTTTTTCTGTTCTCTGGAAGAGTCTGTTGAAGGTTGGCATTATTCCTTCCTTAAATGTTAGGTAGAATTCTGCAGTTATGCCATTCGGTCTAGAGTTTTCTTTTAAGAAAAGTTTATATTATACCCTCAATTTCTTTAATAGTTATGAGACCGTTCTGAGTATTTCTTCTTGTGTCAGTTCTGGTAAATTGTATCTTTCAAGGAATTTGTCCATTTCATCTACATTTTCAAATTTATTGGGAAAAAGTTGTTCATAATATCCTCTTATGATTTTTGCAGTGTCTGTAACATGGGTAAATATCTTTGTCTTTTTCATCCGAGATTAGTTATTTTTGTGCCTTCCTTTCCTTGCTCTCACTCTAATTATTTTTCCCTTTTTAGCCTTGCCAGGGTTCATCAGTGTTATTAATCATTTCAGAGAATGAATATTTGTCCCTCTTACTCCTTTATTTTTTAATGCTGATTTTTTCCTTTCATTGGTTTCTGCTTTTATACTTATTTTCTTGTTTCTTTGGGCTTAATTTACTGTTCTTTTACTAACTTCTTGAACTGGAGAGTTCCTAACTTCTTCGAAGCTTACCTCATTGACTTTCAGCCTGCCTAGTTTTTGTTTTGTTTTGTTTTAATATATGTATTTAATGCTATAATATATGTATATGTATATTAAATATGTATATTAAATATACATATTTAATATATGTATAAATGCTAAGCATGCGTTTTACCCACATCCCACAAATTTTAATATGTAGTCGTCTCCTTATCATTCAGTTCAAAATATTTTCTAATTTTCATTGTGATGTGTTCCAAATGTTATTTGGAAATATATTTCCTAATTTCCAAACATACAGTGGTTGTCTGATTATTATTTTTGTTAATGATTTGTAGCTTAGTTGCACTGTGGTCAAAGAACATACTCCATAAGATTTCAGTTCTTTGAAATTTGTTGGAACTTATTTCATGGCTCAACATAAAGTCTTTTTGCAAATATTCAACGTTTTCTTGAAAAAAAAGTGAATTCTTCCATTCTTGGTGCTGGTATTCTATATATGTCCTTTAGGTCAAGTTTCTTATTGTGTAGCTCAAATTTTCTATATCTTTATTGATTTTTTAAATCTTCTTGTTCCGTTAGTAACTGAAAAAAGTGTATTAAAGTCTCCCAAAATGATTGTCAATTTTTTAGTTTTTCTTTTTCGTTCTGTCCATTTTTATTTTATCTATTTTGAGGCTATGTTATTAGTTATGTATGCTTTTTAATAAGTGGTGTTGAGATCACCAGAGAGCCAAAAAGGAAAAAGATAATACTGGATCCGTTCTTTTTGCTGTTACACTAGGATAAACTCTAAATCGGTCAAAGATTTAAATGTAAAAATGAAACCATACATGTATTAGAAGAAAACTTAGGTAAGTTACTTACAACCTGAGAGGAAGGAAAGTTTACCTAACTATGACTCCAGATCCAGAAGCAATAAGGGAATGGACCAATAAATTTGGTCACATTAAAAAAAATTTTTTTTTTCATGGCAAAGTGTACTTTGCATAAGCAAAGTAAAAGGACAATAAGAAACTGCAAAATAAATTTTTCAGATTATATCACAGACAGAGGGTTAATAGCCCTAGTATGTAAAGAGCTTCTAAAAGTAGAGAAGACCAACAACCTTAGAAATTGGTTAAACCTATACTCTCAGAGATGAACCAATATTTATAGGAAAAAAAATGCAAATGGCTCTTAATCATATGAAAATATGCTTACCTTTGCTCCTAATAAGAGAAATACAAATGAAAACTACCCATTTCTCAACTATCCAATTAGTAAAAATTCAAAAATTTGACAATACACTTTGTTGGCACTATTTTGAATCACAAAAGATTGGATACAACCTGAACAGTAGAGGACTGGATGAATATACTGTGGACCTATCAGCAGAATAAGGAAAGTCTTTATATACCACAGGGTGATCTCCAGGATGTAGTAAGGGGAAATCAAGAATACAGTTGTGTATAATATGCTACCACTTAGCTAAGACAAGCAGGAATACCAATGAATGTACGTATTTGCTCCATTAAGAAACCATGGAAGGGGGCTTCCCTGGTGGCGCAGTGGTTGAGAGTCCGCCTGCCGATGCAGGGGACGCGGGTTCGTGCCCCGGTCCGGGAGGATCCCACATGCCGCGGAGCGGCTGGGCCCGTGAGCCATGGCCGCTGAGCCTGTGCGTCCGGAGCCTGTGCGTCCGGAGCCTGTGCTCCGCAACGGGAGAGGCCACAACAGTGAGAGGCCCGTGTACCGCAAAAAAAAAAATAGAAACCATGGAAGGATGAACCATAAAGTTGAAAAAAGTTTCACCTATAGAGAAAGGGAGGACATAGGGGTGGGAGATAGAGAAGTCAGAGTTCTTTGAAGGCACTCTGTCCTGCAGATTTGACTTTGGAACCACGTAGATGTTTTATATAATTATTAAACAAAACTAATACATTTTTAATAAAGTATCCCTAGAAATTGAAAGTAAAATGAAATAAATGAACTTAACTGTCTGTTCACTTGGTGGGATTAGCACACAGTTACTATTCCAAGTAATTTGAATGTACATCCCTTAGAGAGATGTTCCCTAGAAACAGCAACACAAAATACCTATTTTCAGTAATTATATTGTTATTCTGAGATTGTGTTTGTATTGCGGGATGAGTCAGATGAGTTATGTTGAGGTCACTGAGACTAGAGATTTTTTGACATGATTAAAAGTAAATACAGATTTAAGATTGCTGATAAGGTCAGATGAAAACTTGTGTTCCTGAATTTGAATTCTAGGATCGATATGAACTCATAAGGGATTTTATCTTTAACTATATACGTAAAAAAAAAAAATATATATATATATCTTTATATATGTAATACACACACATATACATATGTGTGTATATATATATATATTTATGACACACATACATATATATACATACCTATGCACAAATAATGTGAATTTTCCTAGTTCTGCCCACTAAAAGAACCCAACTCAACCCAGTAGCAGTGAGCACCATTTGTGCCCAGAATGTGACCTCTAAATACCATTATTACCTACTGAAAGTAATGAGGGCTTTTTGGAAAAATGGCTGATTCCAGGTCTGGGGCATAAAATGTATAATCTTAGCTTGGAACATTTTGTCATACCAGAAAGCAAGGAAGCAATCAACGTTTACTAGGGTCGTGTCAAACAGAGTTCTGGTGCCAACCTGAATAAGTGCCCCTGGTCAAAGATGAGACAGTTTCAGCAACTGCCATGGACTGAGAAACATCAAATACCTTGAAATCCATGACTTTATAATGGTATTATTAAATAAACAAAACTCATTGGTCACTTTTGGAAGGTGCCCAGGCAAGAAAAACTCATTATTCTGAAAACTGGTAAATTAAGAGAGTCAGCTCCTTTTCCTCTTATGATCTGTGTCTGAGTAGTCCAAGAAGTGATAAGTGGAAGTTTTCCAGATAATAATCAAGGAATGGTATACTTAGATTATGACCATTTTGCAACTCAAATGAATTAGTGGATTTAGGCAGTGATCATCAAAGATTTTATATTAACATTAAAGAGAAACAGCTAGGTGTTATGCACATTATGATGGAAGTACATAACACCACCCATGAAGTGGTCTTGCTTAGTGATGATGATGGTAAGAAGAAGAAGGAGAAGGAGGAGAAGAAGAAGACGACCAGAATCTGGCCAAGTTTCTAGATCTTACCACCAATTTATAGGAAACATGAAGCACAGAGGAACAAGCATTTATAATACAATTGTGAAAATATAAACATTGGCTGGAAAACTCATAATACTGAGGAATTACTGTTTTACTTTTTGTGTGTGATGATGGTAGAGTGGTTATTTTTTAAGTGCTTATCTTTTAGAGATACATACTGAAATATATAAAACATAAAACAACATGTTGTTTGAGATTTATTTCAGAATAATTAGGACAGTGATAGATGATACAAGATTGGATATATAATGATAGTTGTTGGAGCTGGGTGATGAGTACATCTGATTCATTATATTAGTCTCTGCTTTTGAATGTGTTTGAATATTTCAAAATAAAAAATTAAAGCAGAATTTTTTTTAATTGCCAAAAAGTCCTCCTTTTTTCTAATGCTGACCTTAAAATCTACTTTTTAAAATTAAACTATCTATACTGGCTTCCGTTTTATTGGTGCTTGTATAGTATGTTTTTTCTATCTTTTGACTTTCAGTGTTTCTGTTTCTGTATATTTGTGTTCTCTTTTGTAAGCAGTGTTTAGTTTTTAATCTTTTATCCATTTTGAAAATCTTTATTGGAATATTTGGAACAATTACATTTAATGTAGTTTCTCATATATTTGAGTTTAATTCTCTGTCTTAACATCTGCTTCTTATTTTCCCCATCTGTTCTTTTTCTCTTCTCCTTTCCTGCCTTCTGTACTCCTTTTCTTTCAGTGGTTACCCTAAGGATTACCACATGAATCCTTGACTTATCAAAATCTAATATAAATTGATACTTTTACCCTTCCCAGATAATTCAAGGACCTTAGAGCACTTTAGCCCCATTTATACCCTTCCAGCTTATATGCTACGGTTGTCATGTATTTTTTTTTCTATTATTGTTTTATAAAGTTAATATTCACTTACATGTACCCACAGTTTTATATTTTGTTTGCTATTCACTTTTCTGTAAATATCCAAGGATCCTTTTCAGATCACTTTCCTTCTCTCTGGAGAATAGACTGGCAACTACCTGTGATGACACAGGAAACTGTGGTATTCATAAAAGTATGAATGATCATGAAACACTGAACCAACTCTTGTTAGCTTCCCTTGCGAAAAGGAAAGATTTCTCTCAAAAGATTCCTGTTTCCAGTTGTGTCAATATTCTCACTTACCTACTTGATCTGACCAACCTTAAACGCATCTGATTTTAACAGTTGAGTTGAAAACTTACTTTGATGAGCTGTGGCACAGGCTCAGCCATGCTGTGATAATCACCAGACCAAAGAGCTCCCTATAAAATAGCATAGATTTCATATTTTGAAGTGGCTGCGAAGTGTCATTTTCTCCCTGACACTTGATTCTGCTGACTGTCTGATGACTTCCTCCAAGATATATAGCATGTACAAAATATTTTCACGTCTAACCATGACTCATAAATTACTTTTTTCAGACCTTTTAAAGCCCTATATGAAAATAAATTTCATCTTATGAGGCAGATAAGAACTTCATGACTGTTCCCCAATTTATAGGTGAACAGAGAAACAACAACAAAAAACAAACAAAAACATATATAAATCACTTACTTCATGTCACGGGGAGGAATACCACAACCAAGAAGACAATCCCAGATTTGATCAGGCACTCTTTTCACATTGTGTTAGAGGGGTCACTGTTAGGCAGGTTGAGCTCAAATCAGTAATTTAAGCACAGATTGCAGGAGACTGGGTCACGTCTTAGCGGAGTGGAATGACTTGTAGTGTGAGTCTAATGATTTTGGGGTGGGTATATGCTTCTAGAAATATGTGTTAAAAGGTTGTATCTTTTACATAGCGTAGAAAATAATAGTATTTGGCCAAATACCACCAGAAGCCCCCACTTGGATTTCACTGTGCCTCATGGGCTTCAGGTTGGTGGAGGTGATTGAAACCGTTTGGTCCACATTCCCATCAACTGACCCAACCTGATGTAGTTTTCCAAAGATTAGGGCCTATAATATAGCAGCACCTCACCAGTGGGACTTAAGCTACAGGTCTCTCAATTTTGGTGTTGGCAGATGTTACCAGTGGGATAGAAAGGAAAGGAGGGGGGCTACTCGTGAGACCAGGGAGTGAAGGGTGGGAGGAAGCAAAGGAGGAGATGATAAAACAAGAGCCAATGGTGGTGACAAAAGGAGGAGAGGACATGAGATATATAAGGGCAAGGCTGGCAGAGGCTGACCTCTGATGGGGCTGATCACACGTGTAAATGAGATTCTGGCTTGAACCAGGACTGAATCCAAAGGCTGATGGAGTTTTCATCTCATTAGACTGGACTGAATGTTACTGTACGCGATCCTTGCTCGTTACAAGGGGGTCAGGGTCCAACTGCCCGACGATAATATAATGCAACGTGTAGCAGTGATCACAGGTTTGGTAGGCAGTGCTGGCTTTGAATGCTGGCTCTATCATTTCCTCAGTTTCTTCAGCTTATAAAGGAGATAATATCTTCCCTGCTCCTTATGGTGTTGGGGGAATTAAATCATCGTCATGCACAGATAAGGTGTCGTAAAGGAACAGATTTCTCAGTTCTTCCCCACCCCTTCCAAAGAGCAAAAAATCACTGCTCACCTGCCTTCTTCCTCATGCAAGATGTTCTGTTTTGTATGAAGCAAGAGGTTGTACGCCAAGCCAACAGCCCACACGATACAGAAGAATATGTGTATTGCAGAGACACTCTTCCAAATAAAGTTACCTAAAAACAGATATCCTGGTGCTGTTAATCGTGGAATCACATCCCAGAGAAAAATGGTCTCTTTGTATTGTTTTGCCATAATCTGCCTTCAAGTAAAGCATTCAGAAAAGGCTGGCGTTTTTTTGTTTCAATTTGCCCTCAAATCAAAAGGTTAAAACAGAGGTTAAAACAGTATTTATAAACTTAAGTGGACATTTATTATTTTGATTGTCCAGCATCTCCCCTTCCTATGATGACGACCCTTATTTTTTCTGGGGATCCACCCTTCCCACACTCCTGGTCTATGTGTCCCAGACAACTGGACCTTAGTGAGGTCAATCAATGTATTCCATCCCCTCAGTGACAGTGATTTGTCTCAGGATGAACAGATAACGAATCAGGACCAACAACTCCATTCTGAGCTTTTGTGGAGCTATCAGGGAAGTGGCTTCTAGATTCTGTTGGACCCAGCATGGTGAAGCTGTGACCTTTGTGTGGCAGGGCTACCACGTGGAGCCCAGGGCTGAAGTGCAGTAGATGTGGAACTAAGACTGCAGACAAATTTAAGTTCTGAGCTGCCACCAGTGCCTGAAGCCAGCACCATCCCAGCCTTTTCAGTAAAGGATCCCAGTACATCTCCCTTCATCTTATAGGCCATTTGAGTTGTTTTTTCTTTGCTTGCAACTAATGGAGTCCTAACTGATACACCTTGAAGATGTAAACAGAGATCTAGGGGCCTTGTACAAGGAGCCCGAGCATCTGGGGGATGGGAGTTTTCCCCACCCAGGTGGGAATCATTAGTCTTTATTCTAAGGCCCTGAGAATTTTCAAGCCCCACTAGTAGAAGCTGATTTAAAGAAAGTGACAAATAACCTGCCGTACTAACATTCCCAATTAATAAGAGAATGTTAGTAAACAATGTAAAAAAAATTTTTTTTTCTGCTCTAAGATACTGTTTCATAGAATGAAACTGTCCAACTAAGGTTTACTGAGTTTTTAGGGCCATAAAAGGTGAAGCAGCTACATTTTGCCCCTAACTGAGGTAGGTGGCCTGTGGGCAATACAAACCGCTATTTTAAGTGAATTTTTTATGTGTATACTCACCTGGGATATACATGTAAGGAATCCAAGGAGCAGGTTACAAAACAAACATATGATAAAGCCTCTGTGTTAGAGCCATTCACTGACTCAACAAACATTAGGTACCTGCCATATTCCTGGCCATGTTTAAGCTAGACTTGGGCAAAGATGGGTTAGACATGATCCTTTCAAGGGGCTTACAGCCTAGATGGAGGAAACATATATAAAAGTGTGCAAGAAATTGCTGGAGTTACTGTGATGGTACATAAGGAGATTAGAGAGAGCAACATGTATCAGTGAAAAATCTAAAGATTTGTTATGGACATTATAGACAGTTTCTCTACAAAAGTAGCAGTTCAGATCCATAGGTGTTAAATGAATTCAAAATCAGACAATGACTAATGGGAGTGGTACTGGGAGAAGAACTGTATAGAGTAAATGCATAATAGACAATGATGCACCACTAATATGGAGACAAGGTTAGCAGTTTGATTGTTGCCCATCTTCCAGTAGCTTGGTGGCTTAAGAAGTCAACGCGGTGACTGAAGCCCTTCTCTCTCAGGGGCTAAACGGCATAACTGCTGTACCACATCAGTATGAGATCCTGGGTTCCAAATTGATAAAGACTGTCTTAGTATGGCACGGCCTTATCAAGTTTTCCTGAAGATGGGTGAGGACGATCTAGATTAGAATTCGCCTCCTCTTATGATCAGAAGGGAGAAGAGAGACGTGGAGAGCTCCAGTTTTCTCCTGGGCGTTGGCAGATAGACTCTCGTCATTGAAAGGAAATCAGATTTGCTGTATCTCCATTCAGAATCCAAGGTTCATACCTGTGACAAGAGGGTTAAGTCCAACAAGCAGGGTCAGACCGGCAGGAACTGTATATACAACCTGTTAGCAGAAAAAGAGGAAATTATATGGGTTAAGAAGGATGCCCAAAAAGAGAAAAAAAAAAAAAGAAGGATGCCCAGTATAGGAGGTGTTCAGAGATGTGTAGGGAGTAAAGATAGATGACAGCAGTGGCCACCACACTCCGTGACTTACCTCTAGCTTTCAGTAGCAGCTGAGGAAGTGGTGACCTCTGCCTTATGGCATTTACCGTGTCAGGCTGTAATTCTATCTGCCTTCCTCCTAGACTGTAGGCTATTCCAGGAAAGACTTCTCCATCTTCAAGCTCTAGCACTGAGCAGAGTTTTGGTCTCAAGACACAGTGACCTCCTAATCTCTCGCAAGCAACATCCATGCCTAAATGGCCTTTCCCTACTTTTCAAAAAATGCTCTTAGAAAAGCAGGGCAGGGACAGCCATAATTAGCCACATGGCCCTGCTGGGTCTAGCTCCATGGACCATCCAGCCCCATATTCCATCTCTGCGAGTGAGACCACATAAAGGTTACTGACAGTGTACAGATCAGATGTGCCCAATAAGATCAGGCCCTTCATTTTGGAAACTGTTGTAAGTTGGTTTGGCGTTGGGAAGGCTGGCCCTGAAGAGGCCCTATTTTCAAGCCTCGTTCACGGCAAGCAGGCAGATTCTGGAAAAACCTATTGTGTGGTGTGGGCAGAGGGCAAGTAGGGGGTGGTAGGTTTATAAGAAGCGTGGGGCCTCCCCAGAGATGTAGCTGCTTAACATCAACTGTGATGCTTAGTTAGAAACCTTTAGTTTATAAGGAAGTTGTCAGAGCTGAACATTTTAAGTGATTTGCTGTCACTATGAAAACATGTCTGTCTTGACCCTGGGGAGAGAAAGCATCTGGATTACAGACCATGTTCATCCTTCCTACTCCATCCCAAATGATGACTAGAATATCAGCCAGTATCAGCATTTGCAAGGACAGTCACGCTGCCGAGGGTTAGACCAAACTTTAGTGTGCATATGAATTACCTGAAGATCTTACTAAAATGCAGATCTGATCCCAGAGGTCTGGGGTAGGGCCCTAGATTCTGCTTTTCTAACAAGCACCCAGGGGATACTGGGGCTGTTGTTCCAAGGGCCACTTTTAGAGCAGTAAGGGGTTAGTTTCCCCCTAGTGAAGAACTACATGACTTAGCTACTGAGGGAGAGAGAAACAGAGACATCGAGACAGACAGAAGTTAAACACATACACATCATGCAGTATTTAATTGTGCTCTCCATAAGAAATGTTTGGCAGAGATTTTTAAATGTGCATTCAAATGTATCAGATATCTGTGATTAATAGATTAAGGGGTCTGAGCACTTATATATGAGTGCTCACCAAGCAGAATGGATCCCAGACCATAAGCCATGTTAGGGGCTTCTTGGGAAACATTTCCTCCCTGATGAAAGGGAGAAAAGCACAGGAGGAAAACTGGTTTTGCCTCCTGCCTTGTTTCTTCCTACTTGGGATGCTCTTGTCTGGGCATGAGATGTTTGGAGCTGCAGCAGCCATTCTGTAAGCATGAGAGGATTTATCACCTACCCATTGAGGACTGGCAGAGAAGCAAGACAGAAAGCCCAGGTCCTTGATGACACTGTTGACCATTAAGCACCTGCCTCTAGACTTCTTGTGAGATGGTCTGTATTTTTATAACCTGATGCTAGTCAGATTTTCTATTATTTGCTCCTGTATGCATCCTGATACAAGTATCCTCCATAAGCAAGATGTGGTAGGGAACATGGAAATCAGTCAGGTACAGTACAGCCCCCAATGCCCGGTAACATATAATTGATTCATCTGTGCCTTTATTGTTTTATTCACTCAAGAATCAGTATGGGAAGAACTGCCATAGAAAGGTTCTATGCTAGGTTCCCTAAGGACCAGCAAGAAGAGGGAACTGGCCTCTGACCCCTGGGAGCTGGCATATACAGAGCCAACTCTAATGCAAAGCAGAATGAGTTAGTGGTACAGTAAAGGTTCAAAGGAAGGATGGTTGGAACTTATGGGAAAGAGGCAGAGAGATTTTGCAGGTGAAATAGCATTTGAGATAGACCTGGAAGCTTGAGTAGAGTCTGACATACAGGAATTCTCAGGGCAAGGCAAGAAGTGGACTGGGCTTCCCAGACCAAGTTGGGAAGGTGGGTTAGGGCCGTATTGTGGTGGGCCTGGAATGCCAAGTTGGGAGTTTCAACTTAGACATTTTGGGAAATGACAAAAGTTTTTGAAGCAGGAAGCAATATATGGGGAGTATTATAGGAATGGAAGATATTAGAGGCAGCTCGAAGAGTTAGGAAGGACCCACAAGGGTCCGTGTGGGAGGAATGGAGGGCTAAACTGGGGGTGAGGGAGGATGTCTTTGGGGGCCTGGTGTTTATTATTATTCATATTACATCATCCAAGCATGAGGTGAAGGGTAAAATGTGCCGATACCTTACAGATAAGCAATTAGACCTACATTGTTTTTTGTTGAATTGCTTTGTTCTTTGTTTTCTGAGGGGATCTCAAAGACAGTGGTAAGAAACAGAGATGTTAGAGATGGCTGAGGTTTTGAGCAAGGATGGCTCAGAATGACTGCTGATAACAGAAATGGTGAGTCAGAAGGAAGAGTGGGCATTGGAGGGAAAGATGCTGGGTAGGACCTTGTTTGTATCTGAGGAGCCACTGTAACGTACAGGTGGACAGATGTAGCAGTCGTTTGGAACTTCGGCATTAAGCTGGATATTTGGAACTGCAGGAGAAATAGCATTTGGAACTAAGGACATGGATCATAGTGCTGAGGAAGAGTCAGGGGCATGTGAATCTGGAGAGTAAGAATATCAGAATGTGGTTATATTTATAACCATATATATATAATATATATTACATTATATATAATTCCAAATGCTTTCACTTGTTGTTACTCTATACACAGTCAACATTATTCCAAAGCCTAAAATCATCTCATCAGTGATATTGTACAGTATTGTATATCTGTATTGAAAGAACCGAAATTTAGATATTTCCAAAAATGTGTGGAATGAACTCCCCCTCCTCTAAATGATTCAATCAGAGCATTGGTTCAATGTATACTGTAGGTTTTATGGGCTTTAATTACTTTTTATGAATGTAACTCACTGAATTAGCAGAACCACATACCTCAAGCCTGCCATTTTCTCGTCAAATGTTTGTTGGAGTTTCTGGATAGAAATTCATGAGGATTGGTTCACTTAACCTTGAGAGGTCTGTTCTGTGTCTTCAGAAAAGTGTCCTCAGTTGGCCCATTTTATTCAAAGGGAATACTGCTGAAAGGCACCTCTATATCTGGAAAATTCTGATTTCTCAATCTGATCCTTCTCCTAATATTTTAGGAAAAAGCACTTACTAAGGATTTGATTTCTAAGTTTTTAAGTAGACGAAGCAGGGAGGAAATAGATAAACCTGCGTGTTTCACGCAGCCCCACAATTCTTTCAGGTGTGGGAAGGCAGCTCCTACTCACCATCCACACTTCTGCATCTGGATCATTTACCTGGAATGCCAAAACGTCAGCATTAGCGACATGCTGTCATGTTCCATTCCAGCATTTGGTCTGCTCTTTATTCAGTTCAGTCATTTTCTAAACGCTGCAGTAGGGACCGAGGATACAAGGAGGAGTATGACATAGCGTGTAGCCGATGGTGACGGGGAAGGGGCTTCTGGCTGAACCCAGCACCTGGTTTGAACACACAGCCACACCTACCTATTTGTAAAGAAGGGCACAGGGGGTCCACAAAGGGCGAGCCAAGCCCAGAATGGGTGTCTTAAGCGCCCTCCAGTCTCAAGGAATGAGGAAAGCTATCACAAAGGGGCCCCAAAGCAGGCTTGGAAGGATAATTAGCTGCAAAGGGTTTTTGCTCTGCTTCCTCTCCAAGGCCGTGAGTTCAGCCTCGCCCCCAGGCTGCCTTTTTAGAAAGGTGCCAGGGCCGCTTCTGCTCAGGTCCCTGCAAAGGGACACGCGCCGAACCAGTTCCTTCCAGCATGTGAGCAAACGCGACCATATGATCACACCTGTCTCAGCTGGAGCCGGAGTGTGGGTTCCGGGATCACCAACCCTGACTGCAGCCCTCCCCGTACAGGGCCGGCTCCTGCGACCCCGCCGGCCGCTCGGCCTATACCGCACGGGGCCTGGGGCGGAGCTCGGAGCCCGGGGTCCCGCCACCCGCCGCCGGCCCGGGGCGCTGACCTGCACGAAGGCCGCCAGCGCGAAGAAGGCGCCCATGAGCCAGTTGCAGGCGCGCCACAGACCCGGCGCCCCGCGCCCGGCCGCAGGCGCCATTGTCGGGCGGCGCGGTCCACGCCGCGGCCCCTCCTTCCGCCCGGCCCGATCCCCGGAAGGCCCTCGGTCGTCCGGTCCCGGGGCCACTGGCCGGCGCGCGCCCGGGTGGGAGGGGCGCCGGTCGGGCCTTCCTGTGTGCCCGCATTCGCTCCTCGTCAAACGTAGAGAGGCGTAGGTATCTGCCCATTTCTCAGACTCGGAGAGTGAGTGACAGAGCGCCGGGGAGGCTGGTTCAGCGTCGCACAGCTCGTCCTTGGGGGCAGGAAGTCGCATTTGAACCCAAAAAGGTGCAACTCCAATGCCAGTTTTCACTAAAGCTGCCTTCTTCACATTTAAAAAAAATTAGAGGAAATTAAAGGGGAGGGAAGGAGGGAGGAAAGAAGGAAAGAGAAAAATAGAGGCGTGTGTGTGTGTGTGTGTGTATGCGTGTGTATGCGTACGCGCTTTCTGGTAAGTGTTTATGCATTTCTTTCCAAAGCTCAGAAACTTTCAAAGCCCTGTAAGCATTATGGTAATCTCTTAGAGTGACGACAGTTACATTAGCATCTCATACAGCTCACAGCTTTTCTTAAGACAGCCTAGTTTATCTTCATGGGCTTTTATTATCAGAGGTATTTACATATTATACATATTTACAATTCTTTCCCACCACCAAAACCAACAAATTCTCCACACGCGTTGCTCATGAATTTCTTATGAACCAAAGACACTTGAAATATTCACTTTTCTCTCCTCACTTGTTTTATGGTCTTTTTCTGTTTTGTAATTTACCCTTCTGATTACTTCTTCCCGGGGCTCATTTACACATCCATAGGCCTCATCATTTTTGCTGTTCTAAAGAGTCTTTATCATTTCAAATCATGAGCCTGTTCTCCTGTGCTCCACTCCTTTTCGCTAAATCTCCTAAAACTCTTTAGGAATTTTTTTTTTTTTTCTTTCTCTGTTTCATTCCTTTCAAATAATGCTTATTTCAAGAACGTTGTCTGCCGGATGCCTGGCCCCGTGCTTGGTGCAGGGACCATGAAAGGGACTTGCTGTACGCTCTCCGGGATAGTTTGGAAATGGGGTCTTTAAAGAGATAATTAAGTTAAAATGGGGTCATATGGGTGGGCCCTTATCCAATATGACTGGTGTCCAAGAAGAGATTTACACACAGACGTACACAGAGGAAAGACCACGTGAGGACACAGAGAGAAGACCACCGTCTGCAAGCCAAGGAGAGAGGCCTCAGGAGACACCAACCCTGCTGACGCTCTGATCTTGCCCTCCCATCCTCCAGAATTATGGTCCGAAAATAGGTGTTTGTTGCTTCAGTCCCCCAGTCTGTGGTACTTTGTTATGGCAGTCCTAGCAAAGTAATACAGGAAGTGATCATTGCCAACCAAACGGAGGTGTGGGTGGCAAGGAGAGAGTGGTATGAAAATGCTTTGTAAACTTGTGTGCTGTGCAACTCCCCTGCAGTTTATATTTTTCAGTGTTGTCTGGGACATTCATGGTCGCTGTGTGGACATGTGTTGTTTTTGCTGGCGCAGGGTTCATTCCCCTTCTTATAGGATCAGCATCCCAGTTACTGGGGAAGGACCCAGCTCCCACTGTCAGGGCATGTATACCAGGAGGGCTGGCGTGCTGGTGCCTTTCCAGAGATGGGCAGGTGACCGTGGCCTGCCGGTTGGCATAGCCCATCCTCCTGACCACAGCGATTGGGTCTGGGATGATATGTGATGCAGGTTGCCCAGATTCAGTCCTGTGCTGGAGGGAGGGTTGCCAGATAAAATACAGGAAGCCTAGTTACATTTGAACTTCAGATCAACAAGGAATAATTTTTTAGTATAAGTGTGTCCTAAAGATTTGCTAAATCCGGTAACCCTAGCTGGACCATTAAAGAGAAGCTTTCTTTTTTCTGAGGGTGTTGAACTGGTAGCATGTAAGCTGGAGCTGCCAGGAGAAGGCTTTTCGGAGGGTGAGCTCAGGTAGAGGAAGCAGAGCTCAGAGGGAAGGAAGGCAGGAACCTGGTAACATGGCGTGAGCGAGGCTCTGGGTCCAGCCCCGCCGACCGCTGGGCATGGCCTCACCACCCTTCAGCAGCTTTGTGAGCCATCTCAGCCCCTTCCTCACACACAAGCCTGTGTGAGTCAGCTTTTTGTCACTCACGACATAGAATGATGACTTGTAAAATCACGATTCAGTAGTTGGGCCGTTGCTTGAAATCCTCTAAATCCTCCCGCTGCATGTTTGTCCGGATTTTGCAAACATAGGCTCAGCCTGAAAAGTCGTGAGAAATAAGTTTAAGTGAATCCAGTATCCCAGAGAGCTCTGCTTGGGAGCTCACTCCATTTCCCTTTTTAACTGCGGTGTCACACGCTGCGGGGATGAGGAGGTTTGGAAGGGAGCGGGGGCCTGTCAGCGCTGGCCTCCCCCTGCCGAAAGGGCGGCACGCGGGACCTTCATCCTGCCAGGCTGCTCCCGGGCTGCCAGGTCAGTGGCAGCGTCATGAGAGCAGTCAGAGCCACTGGCGCCAGGCAAGGGGGACTCGCTTCTCCACCAGAACCCGACAGTGCCTGGGTGGCATGCGGACGTCTGTCCTCTGAGAACTTGGAACTAGAGGTGCTTGCTTGAGCGTGGGTGTTGGTGATGGCCACCAGATGATGTGTTTGGGGACAGGGATGCTGGAATAAGAGTCATGCCCCGTGCCCGATGTTGCCCGTCCACCTCCCTCTGTCCACCACCCAGCTCAGCAAGGTTCCCCCTCGCATAGTCTGCTGGTTCTGTGTTGGGGAGGAGCTGGGGTGGGGAGGGGTTTGGAATAGGACAGCAGAGGGACTCTGCCTGGGCTGTACCGGCTGCTCCTAAGGTCTCTGAACTCAGACACGCACCTCACCAGGGCAGGGATTGATTTGCTTTTGCCAAACCCATCTGGTCTCCGTGAAGGACTCAGGTTTCTCCTGTTAGCAAAACGTAGACCATATCATGAAAGCCCTAAGTTTACTCATATCGATTGACACTGAAAGACACCTGGCTCAAACAACGTTCCTCGAAATCCTGGCCGTCCCCTTACACCTCCAGTAGGAGAATGTGTACTGGTTCAAGGCACCCTCCATGTGTTTCCCTTCATCACTGTGTCCCTCAATGAGTGAAGCACTCATTGAGTCATTTATTTCATCTGTTCACTGAACATTTATACAGGCCTTAACTACGTTCAGGCACTGAGCTGATAACTGATTACGTGACGGTGAACAGAAGAGATACAGGCCTTGCTCTGTAGAGCTTACAGACCTCACAGGAATCACCCAGTCAGGTGGTCCCAGCAGTTCGAGCTGTGGGAAAGCCAGGGCCGCTCGGGGAGATGTGTCAACGAGGGGAATCGGACCTCTATCAGGGGCTTCGAGAAACTGTCTGGGGAGGTGACTTTTGGGCGTGGCCTGAAAGATGAAGGGGTGAATGCGGTGATACTGGCCCTGAGCTCTCCAGGGCTGGCATGGGCATGTGTGGACACAGAGGAGGCTGGAGAGGTGCCGCCTCGGGAGGTTGGCTTATCCCTGGTGTTGGGAGAGCCCAGAGCAGCAGGGGGCTTGGCTCTGAGGTCCCTGCAGGAGACCAGGAAAGACGCGATGCAGCACGGATGAGCCACCTCGATGGGTAGAACCACAGGGCTGTGTGCGGGGACATAGTTAAGAGTTTGGGCCTCATGGCTGAGGACTGGCTGCAGGAGAAGGTGGACTCACCTTGGCACCTGCCCATGTAGGGACCCCTCCTCCCTGTTTCCCTGGCTCCGTGCAGTTTCCCTGGAAGATCAGGGCTTGTTAGCAGTTTATCTCCCCATGTGGGGATGAGAGTCCTCCTCTCCTGCTTCTTTTTACACTTCGCTTTTGTTGCTTTTATAGCACGTCTTAGTTTTTACCTTGCACTGATTGTTACGTGTGTACGTGTGTTGTCCACACTCCTGGACTGTCCCACAAATGGCAGGAGAAAAGGACTATAACTTACCTACTTTTATTCCCCTCCCACAGTACCTGGCATACCTGGATACCAATGGTATCCAACAGTGAGTGGGGATGCCTTGAGGCATTGTAAGAATATTGCTGAAAGTTGGGTTTGATGGGAGCGGGGAGTGTGTACTAGTTAACAGGTATTGGGCCTGCTGGGTTAGGCAATAGTCTAAGCACTTTGTCTAGATTAACTCATTTCATGTCCACAACAGGTCAATTAGGTAGATACTATTATTACCCCCATTGAATGGATGAAGAAACTGAGGCATAGACTAGCTTTTAAATACACTGGTTGAGAAAGACCCCAGCTCTCTGACCTGCCAGTCAGAATTGGGTTCTATGGGTTCATGGAAGCAGCGAGCAAGGTAGGCCCAAAGCTCTCCCACCCGTGAGGGAGAAGCATTTCACTGAGTAGTTGCTCCTAACCAGAGCTGGGAGAGGGAGGCTTTGAGGGGTCATCCATAGACACAGGCTGGAGGGGCAGTCCTTCAGGGCCTGCTTTGATGCCAGCTTGCTTATCTCTTAGCTATTTTCAAGACCAGAGGGATTTTCCACCCAAACCTTGACTTTTAGAGGCTGATTAGATGAAGCTGTATTCGGAGGTAGGAAAAGGTGAGTGTCTTTGCAGCCCCCTTCTTCTCCAATCCTGACTCTCTGAGATTGGACTGGGCTGAGAACTGTGGGTGTCCACAAGGTGGCGGGCTTCTGCTTCCAACAACTGCCGGGAGGAGGGCACAGTGGGCCGGCCGTGCTCCCCTCGGCTCCGCCTGCGTGGCTGTGATGTAGCCTTTCTGGGTGGGTATGATGTTGGTATCAGCCTGAGGTGAAGAGGTACAAACAGAACTTCGTACCAGGAAATAACGTGGGTCCCAGCAGGGGTGTTGCTGACCTGGAGCTGAGCTTTGCTGTGTCCTGGCAGAGCTTCAAACTGTTTGCCATCCCAGGATTCCAGGAAAATCAGATACGCTTAAAGAGAGCCATCACTTCTAATATCGGAGCGTTCCAAAAGTAAATAATAATGACAATAGCTATCAATTATTGAGTATTTACCGTGAGCCCGGCTGCTGCCCTTTCAACATCTTACAGTCACCACAAATTGTGCATTTCTGACCCTAAACTCGTCCTCTTCCTCTATCCCACAGGGCCCACCCCTCAGGCTTCCCTCCCTCCACGAGTGGCATTGTCCCCTTTTCAGTGACTCTTTGCGTTTCTTGCATACGGCTGCCCTAGCAAATGATCACCAAACTGGTGGCTTAACACCACAGACATTTATTCTCTCACAGTTCTGGAGATCAGAAGTTCAAAATCGAGGTGTCAGCAGGGAGTGTGTCATTTCTTGCCTCTTCC